CATGGACGATGTGTGTGAGGGTGGACATGTTTGGAGGTTGCTGTGTTGAAGCTCCATGAATCAGCCTCTCTGCAGCTCTCAGCACCTTCACTGAGCCTTGAGGGAATCACTGAGCTGCTCTTGTTCTTCACAGTTAGAAGGTGGGAGCTCTCGTCAAATGATGATCTCCAGCATCATCTTGTTCATGCCAGGCTTTTCATCCACTGACCACAGACACCTGTAAACATCAGGGGGACCAGTAGCTGTTTAACACATCTGGAAGGAAACCAGTGAGATTTTAATATGACCATGACCATCATGATATGATGTTATGTGGGGGAGTGGTGGAGCAGAGGTTAGAAGATGGGCCTGTGATCGGAAAGTCACAGGTGCAACTCCCGGTACCGTCAACATCAAAATGAGGTGGAAAAGGTGAAACACCCACACCTGCCTCCACCCTCATTGGCCCCACTCTGGGCCCCTGAGCAAGGCACTCAACCCCCACAATCTGCTCCTAAACAGGTCTCTCTTGAAAATGAGTTCTCGTGACTCAATGAGACTACCTGGATAAATAAAGGTAAATGAAAAAATAAAAGTTTAAAATAGAAATACTCACATCATTAGGCCGAGGTTGTGTGTGAGACGTGCACGTTCCTGAGGTTGTGTGTGAGACGTGCACGTTCCTGAGGTTGTGTGTGAGACGTGCACGTTCCTGAGGTTGTGTGTGAGACGTGCACGTTCCTGAGGTTGTGTGTGTGACGTGCACGTTCCTGAGAGTGTGGGTGTGACGTGCACGTTCCTGAGAGGCCACAGACAGAGCAGCTCCAGTTTTTGTTGAGTTCCTGTAGTCCTGCAGTTTTCAAGCTGAAATGAAAAAGCATCATGAATATGAACTTTACAGTCTATAGTTACCTGTTCATATAAACACATGGAGGTGTCTCACCTTGTGACTGACAATAAAATATGTAACTTCATGAACTCTAATGAACTTATAATGATGCTCCTACTCTTTGAAGATGAACCGATGGTACCACACCATCTCTGTCGGACAGTCTGATCAGTTTGATTTAAAATCCTCCAGTTTAAAATCCTCACTGCTCAGATGAATCCTCCTCAAAGATACTTCCTCCTCGTCCTCACATCTTTTTCTTTGGGAAACCTTCAAAATGAAAACAGGAGATTTGTGTCTACTCAAAAACATTGTACAAAGGAGATCAATCTTATTTTCTATTTCCTATATTCTCCCTAGTTTAATTTTTTTATTTCCTAGAACTTAAACAAAACTCCAGTTCTGATGCATATCTGTTGATAATGAACCAAAGCTACAGAAATTATGAGTATGCTTGTTAGAAAAATATTCCTGTCATCAGATCTCAGTCAACTTCATTGCAGCTGAACACCGTGTTACACTGAACATCACATCAGCTGGTGGACATAAATACAGTACAGTAATATTATATTCACAAAATACTAACAATAATATGTTCATCTTACTGTGAAAAGTCATCCCACGAGACCTGACGTCAACAGTCCGTCGATTAGAACAGAAATAAGCTGCGAAGTGCTGAGACATCTTCTGCTTTAACCAAATAAGGACGACTGTTTCAAGATGGCGGCCGAAAATCCTGCGCTGCAGCAGCCAATGAGGCATCTAGTGTTTATATCTATGCCTGCAACAGTGCAACACCGCCCCCTACGGTTATACGTGGTCACATAATATAACGTCACTACGGATACCCGACTTTACTTTTTTAACATCGATAGATGTCCTAACAATCGATGTGTAAATTACTCGAGTACTCTGTTAATGCCCTAATATACATACATATATATATATATATATATATATATATATATATGTGTGTGTGTGTGTATATATATATATATATATATATATATAATTTTTATATAGCATTTTCCACATCTTAAAGTGTGGGGAAAAAGAAAATAGAGTATAGACGATGTACAGGTCCTTCTCAAAAAATTAGCATATTGTGATAAAGGTCATTATTTTCCATAATGTAATGATAAAAATGAAACTTTCATATATTTCAGATTCATTGCACACCAACTGAAATATTTCAGGTCTTTAATTGTTTTAATACTGATGATTATGGCATACAGCTCATGAAAACCCAAAATGCCTGTTCCAAAAAATTTGCATATTTCATCCCACCAATGAAAGACAAGTGTTTTTAATACAAAAAACGCCAACCTTCAAATAATCATGTTCAGTTATGCACTCAATACTCGGTCGGGAATCCTTTTGCATGAATGACTGCTTCAATGTGGCGTGGCATGGAGGCAATCAGCCTGTGGCATTGCTGAGGTGTTATGGAGGCCCAGGATGCTTCGATAGCGGCCTTAAGCTCATCCAGAGTGTTGGGTCTTGCGTCTCTCAACTTTCTCTTCACAATATCCCACAGGTTCTCTTTGGGGTTCAGGTCAGGAGAGTTGGCAGGCCAATTGATCATAGTAATACCATGGTCAGTAAACCATTTACCAGTGGTTTTGGCACTGTGAGCAGGTGCCAGGTCGTGCTGAAAAATGAAATCTTCATCTCCATAAAGCTTTTCAGCAGATGGAAGCATGAAGTGCTGCAAAATCTCCTGATAGCTAGCTGCATTGACCCTGCCCTTGATAAAACACAGTGGACCAACACCAGCAGCTGACATGGCACCCCAGACCATCTCTGACTGTGGGTGCTTCACACTGGACTTCTGGCATTTCCTTCTCCCCAGTCTTCCTCCAGACTCTGGCACCTTGATTTCCGAATGACATGCAAAATTTACTTTCATCTGAAAAAAGTACTTTGGACCACTGAGCAACAGTCCAGTGCTGCTTCTCTGTAGCCCAGGTCAGGCGCTTCTGCCGCTGTTTCTGGTTCAAAAGTGGCTTGACCTGGGGAATGCAGCACCTGTAGCCCATTTCCTGCACACGCCTGTGCACGGTGGCTCTGGATGTTTCTACTCCAGACTCAGTCCACTGCTTCCGCATGTCCCCCAAGGTCTGGAATCGGCCCTTCTCCACAATCCTCCTCAGGGTCCGGTCACCTCTTCTCGTTGTGCAGCGTTTTCTGCCACACTTTTCCCTTCCCACAGACTTCCCACTGAGGTGCCTTGATACAGCACTCTGGGAACAGCCTATTC